GGGGGGGGAGCTCTTTTCTCTCCTATCTTGAAATGCTCAGTAAAGTTGCAGAGAATGAATAATCAGACTAAGAGACAAAGACAACCCATGAACAGATGACAAAGAAAATGAGACAGAAAATAACCCCCGAAAGCCCAGAAACCATTTTGGCTACTTAACTAAGTAATAACATTACAACATTAATAAAAATGTTTCCCATAATAACTGGAATAATAAAACAACATAATACTGAAAATAATCATTGAAATGATGAAAAAGCAGCAAAGCCACCACATGAACCCCATGTGCCCACATCTTTTCTTTAATCTCCACCACGCTCTGTGAGGTAAGTACCGTAATTATTCCCAACGCACAGAAGAGAAGTGTTGAATATAAGAGTGGTTAGGTGAAGTGAGCAAGTACACACAGCTTTTCAGAATGTACACGCTGGAGGGCTTCCCTGGTGGCGCAGTGGTTGAGAATCTGCCTGCTAATGCAGGGGACACGGGTTCGAGCCCTGGTCTGGGAGGATCCCACATGCCGCGGAGCAACTAGGCCCGTGAGCCACAACTACTGAGCCTGCGCGTCTGGAGCCTGTGCTCCGCAACAAGAGAGGCCGCGATGGTGAGAGGCCCGCGCACTGCGATGAAGAGTGGCCCCCGCTTGCCGCAACTAGAGAAAGCCCTCGCACAGAAACGAAGACCCAACACAGCAAAAATAAATTAATTAATTAATTAACTCCTAAAAAAAAAAAAAAAAGAATGTACACACTGGAGATTATCTGATTCCAGTCCATGTAGTGATACCCTCTGGACTTCTGCCCAGTGAATTTGGCCTTGCCATTAATCTGGTCTTTGGGAGGTAATAAAAAAGAATACACACTGGAGATTATCTGATTCCAGTCCATGTAGTGATACCCTCTGGACTTCTGCCCAGTGAATTTGGCCTTGCCATTAATCTGGTCTTTGGGAGGTAATCTATGTCTCACCTAATAGGAATGCCTTTGTTTAGTGTGAGGCCTGGTCACCTGGGTCTGAGGGTGGGAGCGGCCACACCTGATAGTCCTTGATGGGGGCTGACCAAACTAGAAAGACCAACCACATGACTGACAGTAGGAGATTTGGTCACATGGGATGAGGTGACTTGGAAACTGCTCTCAACCCCATATGCAATCAATCAACCATGACTGCAGAATGAAGCCCCAGTAAAAACTTTGGATGCTGAGGTCTGACGAGCTTTCTGGTTGCCAATACTCCTCGTGTGCTGTCACACATCAACACCAGGATGGTGTTGGACACCCTGTTGTCCTGGGGACAACAAAAGCTTAGCATTCAGGACTCTTCGAGAGTCTGCCCTATGCTTCTCTTCGTTTGGCTGATTTTAATATGTATCTTTTCCCGGTAATAAACCATAATCATGAGTATAATAGCTTTCAGTGACTCCTGTCAGTCCTTCTCGTGAATAACCAAACTCAGAATTCACAATTGATGATATAAATGAGGGCAGTCTGGGGACTGTGCACTCAAACTTCAAAGTCTGGCTAACTCTGGGAAGCCTTCCACTGCAACATCACCATGCAGTTAACCCTTACTACTGCCCACCATGATTTAAGAAAGCAGTGGGCTATCCTTGGAAGTCCCTGGTTTTTGTTTTCGTTTTTGTTTTTTGCTTTACAATGTTGTGTTACTTTCTGCTGTTTAACAAAATGAAATCAGCTATACATACACATATATCCCCATATCCCCTCCCTCTCGCATCTCCCTCCCACCCTCTCTATCCCACCCCTCTAGGTGGACACAAAGCACCGAGCTACGCGGCTGCTTCTCACTAGCTACCTATTTAACATTTGGTAGTGTATATATGCCCTGGTTTTTATTGTATACAAGTCCCTGGTTTTTATTTACACATAAGGGGAAAACGTCACAAGGAAAAAGAAAATCTCACTTTTCCTTTGTGGAAAAGGACAACCTCCAGAAGAAAGGAATTTTGAAACAGCTACTAATCAAATAGTCCCTAATCAAAAAACCAATGCTGTCATTTTCTTGAATTTTTTCCCTTCAAACAGTTTACTGCATAAAAATAAATACAAAAATGACAGTGTTTTATTAATTTGAACATACTTCTGTCTGTTACAATGTCTGTAAATATTTGCAGAGAGGGTGGATTCTTCATAGCATGTTTTCTAGTGCAATGGCTTCTGATTTATTTGCAGTGACTTACATATTTTATTCATTTAGGAGATGGTATAGCATCAATGTCCTGACAAACTGATGTACACAGGGCTTGAAAGCAATAACATTTTAACATAATGGCATACATCTGAAACTAGCAGGTAAGCTGGGGAAGAAAACCAACAGAAGGAAAATTGGGTCTAGATAAGAAGGGGGTGATTTCAATGCAAAAGACAAAGAGAGGTTTTTTAACAAATTTCCTACAAGTGACCATAATGAAAACCCAAACATTCATCATCATCCAATAAAAGTCAAATTCCCAAATGATGTTCTAATTCTTCTCTAGAGACTGCTATAAATTTTAGATGATGGTATTAAATACTTAGAAACATTTTTTTCTGAGACCCTTTTGAAAGAGGAATGATAATAGCTAATTTGCTAACATTTATGTGCCAGGCACTGTGTCAGCCTCATCTCCCTATTCCCAGGCTGCCTTTGACCCATCCCCTACTTTCTGAGGTCCAGCTGCACTGCCATCCTTGTCTTTGCCTCTCAGACATGCTGAGCTTTGGGTTGACCTTCCTTCTTCTTGTGCTCTGGTTTCCTTTTGTCATTCAGAACTCAGCATAACTGCCATCTTCTCAGCTTAAATGAGACTGCCCCTTCCCCCCCTCTAAGTCATTACTCACCCCTCACTTCCACCACATATCAGCTGTCTCTCACTACCTGTAAACAGTATACACTTTTATATGAGCGGCTGTTATTTATCTGTATCTAATTCATTGCTGCCTCCCCAACTCCTAGAACATGGCAAATATTCAATGTGTGTCTGCTGAATGCAAAATTAAGATGAATGAAGAAATTCCCGCAATGACTCAATATAAGGCAGATATTAATTTACAGCTGATGACTGATAAAGCTAAAATTTTAATTCCGGAGCTTATTTTCTAACCTGATAGCTGTTTGGCCTCCCCAGAAGAAATGAGACCCAGAGAGGTTATATAACCAACCAAGGTAACACAGTGTTTTAGTGAGAGACCTGGGATCACACCCCAGTGGTCACAGTCTTGGTTTGTTTCCATTTCCATTAAACCACACTCTTCTAAATATGCTCAAAGGTGAAAATTAACCGTCAGTTTGCTTCTTCGACTTCAGTATTTCCTGATGATACTGGAGTTAACAGCCTACGAGGCACATACCCGCCATTTCTGAAATTTAAGGCTCCTAAAGGCTTTTCAGACCATCAGCGGCCATTCAAGAGTCTCCAACGACTCCTAAAATTTAAGTACAAATTAATAATCAGGAACTTCCCTGGTGGCTCAGTGGTTAAGAATCCGCCTGCCAATTCAGGGGATGTGGGTTCGAGCCCTGGTCCAGGAAGATCCCACATGCCACGGAGCAACTAAGCCCGTGTGCCACAACTACTGAGCCTGTGCTCTAGAACCCATGCACCGCAACTACTGAGCCCGCGTGCCACAATTACTACTAAAGCCTGCGCACCTAGAGCCCATGCTCCGCAACAAGAGAAGCCGTCGCGATGAGAAGCCCGCGCACCGCAACGAACAGTAGCGCCCCGCTCGCCGCAACTAGAGAAAGACTGTGCGCAGCAATGAAGACCCAACGCAGCAAAAATAAAAAATAAAATAAATAAATTTATAAAGAAAAGAAATCAAACATGACAGGTTGGTCCATGCTTCATACTCAGAAAAGACACAAAGGCCACTCAATCTTGTTTCCCCAGAATAATATCGGTGATGAGAGATGCTGGGTTATAATGTTCTAGTCTCCTGCTGGCAATATAAGCTTAAAAGGAAAAGATTCTGAAGTTTTTGCTAACCTAAAGGAAATTATCCAACAGTTTCTTCAAAGCTAATTTTGATCCTCCAAAGGACAAAACCTTGACTATTCATACAGATATTCATAACCAGCAAAAAGCAGCTTGGCTGAAAACAGAAGGGGGCCTCATGCCTAACTAAACGGATTCAGTGTAACATTTAGATTGATGCTAAACTTTACTTTTTGTGACGGGGGCATTTTTTTGATATGCTGGCCTGGCTCCT